TAGTAGTAGTAGTAGTAGTAGTAGTAGTAATAGTAGTAGTAGTAGTAGTGGTAGTAGCAGTAGTAGTAGTAGTAGTAGTAGTAGTAGTAGTAGTGTTAGTAGTAGTCGTGGCAGCAGTAGTAGTAATAGTAATGGGGTAGGTGTAGTGGGACTCAATGATAGTAGTCGTAGCCGTAGCACCAGATTATAGTAGTGAACAGATTGATCGCAGTACTAATAGCAGGTGTAGCAGGCGTAGTCATAATAGTCGTAGTCGTAGCGCTAATCGTATAGTTGTGGTTAAAATTCTCATACTGGTAGTGGTAACAGTAGTAGTCATAGTAGTAGTAGTAGTAGTAGTAGTAGTAGTAGTAGTAGTAGTAGTAGTAGTAGTAATCGTAGTAGTAGTGGTAGTAGTGATAGTACTAGTAGAAGTAGTCGTAGTCGTAGCAGTAGACGTAGTAGTAGTAAAAGTAGTAGTACTAGTAGCAGTAGTAGTAGTAGTAGTCGTAGTAGTAGTAGTAGTCGTAGTAGTAAAAGAAGTAGTAGTAGTAGTCGTGGTGGTAGTAGTAATAGTAGTAGTGGTCGTAATAATAGTAGTAGAAGTAGTAGTATTACTAATAGTAGTAGTAGTATAAATAATAGTAGTAGTAGTAGTAGTAGTAGTAGTAGTAGTAGTAGTAGTAGTAGTGGTAATAATAGTAGCGGTCGTACAAATACTAGTAGTAGTAGTAGTCGGTAGTACTAGTAATCGTAGTCGTGGCATTAGGAATATAGTAATGGTAGTAGTTGTAGCAGTAGCAGTAGCAGTAGTAGTCGTAGTAGTAGTAGTAGTAGTAGTAGTAGTCGTAGTAGTAGTAGTAGTAGTAGTAGTAGTAATAGTAGTACTAGTAGTAGTAGTAGTAGTAGAAGTAGTAGTAGTAGTAGTAGTAGTAGTAGTAGTAGTCGTCGTTGCAATCGTGCTGATAATGAAGCATTCGTAGTAGTAGTAGTAGTAGTAGTAGTAGTCGCAGGTAGTAGTAGTAGTAGTAGCGTACGTAGTAGTCGTCGTCGTCGTAGTAGTAGTAGTAGTAGTAGTAGTAGTAGTAGTAGTAGTAGTAGTAGTAGTAGTAGTAGTAGTAGTAGTAGTAGTAGTAGTAGTAGTAGTAGTAGTAGTAGTAGTAGTAGTAGTAGTAGTAGTAGTAGTAGTAGTAGTAGTAGTAGTAGTAGTAGTAGTAGTAGTAGTAGTAGTAGCAGTAGTAGTAGTAGTAGTAGTAGTAGTAGTAGTAGTAGTAGTAGTGGTAGTAGTAGTAGTAGTAGTAGTAGCAGTAGTAGTAGTAGTAGTAGTAACCGTAGTAGTAGTAGGAGTAGTAGTAGTAGTAGTAGTAGTAGTACTGATAATCGTGGTAGTAATAGTAATGGTAGTAGTAGTACTGATAGGTCCTCCCCCCCGCACTCCCCGCCAGAACTGCGCGGCCACGCTTCTAAAGCGCGGGAAATGTTAATCCGTTGTCGGATGGGGGGGGTTCTGGACGACCTAATAAGATTAAGCCGCTGACGTGGCCCCAGGCGTGTCCCTGACGCGTCCCGCGTCATCCCCGAAATGTCCACTGGCGCGTCCCCAGACGTTCTCGCGTGCAGAATAACACACAACGGCATCACAATAATTTTTCTGTCGTCCGCGCGGAATTCTGGGATCGGCACTTTATGAAATGTTTTGTTTTTCGAGTGAGCGCGGCGAACGTTCGAAGGCGCGGCTACGCCGCCGGGGCCTCGGGGGCCCCCAAAGATCCGAGGCTCGCAAAAACATGGAACGGCATGCATATTTTTGCAATTTTCGGTGTCTGGGGGCTCTCAACGGGCCCGGAGACAAGGAAACGCGAATCGCGATCGAAAGCTGGAACGTGAACCGAACCTCCAGGGGTTCGCGCATTGAAGAGCTGGAGCGCCAGGTGTCCGGGCCTGGAACGGTGCGGGCATACTTCCGAAAAGCCGGTCGGGCTGGAGAGCGAAAAGCACCCGGGCATGCCGCGCAGCCTGGGCCTTGAAGAGCCCCGCGAGACATGTTCCAACCGCAGCCGCAAGCGTCGGCGTAGCCCCTAAAGGTCACGAGCCCTGAGTGCATCACAGCAGCGCCGCTGCCAGCGGCCCCTGGGAATCGGGGCCCCCGCGGAGCCCTGCAGGGCACGATCTACGCTGAGGCGCGCCGCCGCCGCTGCGTTTTCCAGCAGCTGCTGCGACCGGCCCACGCTGGAACTGGAGCTGTTGGCGACCCGCTTGCTCCAGGCAGCCACCCGGTCGAGGTGCGTGGCGTAGGCCGCCGCCTGGGAGAGGCGCTGCTGCCGGCGCGCGATGCGCAGGCCACCTGGCGCCGCATTCTCCCGGCGACAGACTCTGCATTTCGCGCCCGGCACTATCGCGACGAGATCTGGTACATCCGACGCGAAGTCAACTGCTGCAACAGACAAGAGGTCCCCTGGCGCCAGGGAGTAGCGCCATCACGAGGCACTGCTCCGCGCGCTGCCATCGCGATGGGAGGTCCCCCAGCTCGGCGAAGAAGCCAGCCGCGGGCAAGATGCACATGCGATGCGCCACCGCGGATGCGAGCACGCCGCGGCCGATGCGCTTCATGCATATTCGCGGAAGCGGCGCCCCATGCGAGGGGCGTCGGGCTGGCCCCAAGAGGAAGCCCAAATGATATTTCGCGCGGCCCGCCAGAGTGAATTCAGCTCGCAGTCTGGCCGCGCCCGCCACCGCCGCGCGAATCTGATCACGCGGAAGCAGCGAGAGCGGCGCAATGATGGGCTTACCTCTGTGCAGCTTCAGGCAGGACACGAACTCGCACTCGCTGAAGATGACCTTTAGGACCGCGCGCTGCCTTGGCCCACGGCCCAGCACCAGCGCGACGTCGCCATCGCAAGCGCGAAGCACCGCGTCCGGAGCGAGCTGGCGGACTCTGCGGATCAAGACGTCGGATGCAATTGCGCAGATGAGGGGTGGCAGAGGGCGCCCTTGGCGCGCCCCAGTAGCAATCCCAAAACCCCCTGCGCAGGAGCCGCCCAGCGAGAGGTGGCAGTCGTTGTTGTCGAAGAGCGCGGCGACGAAGTTCCGGAACCACGAAGGCCGCGCTCTCTACGCCAACACCTGGTGGATGAAAGCCTGTTTGACAGCGGGGAACGCGGACTCAAAGTCCAGGGAGACAGCGCGGGGAGAGTCCTGCGCGAAAGTGTTCTCGATCATGGCCTCCTCGATGTCCAAAACATTCGCGAGCATGGACCGCCCGCGAAAGAAGCCGCGCTGCTCCTCCGAAGCCCTGGGCGACATCTGCGGTTCGATGCGCACGCGAACGGCGCTGCAGAGGACCCAGTTGTCCGCGCTCGTGATGTTCAGCGGCCTCACGTTGCCAGGGGGGGGGACTTCCGCCCCGCCCACGCGAATCGACGTGGCTTTCTTCGGTATAGAGACCATGATGCCCTGGTTGAAAGACCCCCACTCCGCGCGCACTCGGTCGAGGCCGCCCGCGGCGACCAGCCCCCCGCCGGCGGCCGCAGAGGCGCCGGCGGCGAGGTCAGCTATTCGCCGCCACGCCTTGACATAGATGACGCCCCGGCCGGGGGCGCTGTTCCCGGAGCGCAGGGTCGCCTTCTTGAAGGTCGCCTCCGGCGCCGCGTCACGAGGTAAATGCCGCTGGTAGTCATCAGAGAGGTGCTGCGCGTCCTCGCGAGGCCGCGAGTTCACCAAGTTCTGGTTGATACCTTCCCCTTAAAAGACCATCTCCCAGAGCGCGCGCAGAAGGTCGAGCATTCCCTGCGGATCGGACGTAGCCTCCCCCGACGGGACGTCGATTGCAACGCTCTGGCAGCTGCGCCCCTGGGCCAGCCGACAGACCGACTGATGGTCTCTCCGGCGACGGCGCGCAAACTGATCTTGATCGAGGTCCTTGAGGTCGGAGCGCAAGCTGCTGAGCTCCTGCATGGCAAAATCGCTCTGCAACTCCATCGCGCGCCGGCGGACTCGACCAAGACAAGGGCCAACCAGGGAGGTAAAATCGCACGGGTTCTGCGCGAGATCCCGATGCAACGGGCGCCGCTCCAAGCGCCGTGAGACGCGTTCAGGGTCGCCCGCCTCCGAGGCCCTTAAAAATCGCATCGCGACGCCAGTGCGATCCCCGAAGATGTCGGCAGGGGGCGCCCCGCCGCCCAGCGAGGACACTGCTTTCTCGGCCTGCCGCGTGGCTTGTTCGAGCAGCCGCAGCCCGGCAATACCTGAGGCTACAGAGCGGTCGCGAAGGAGATCGCGCCAAGCAAGAGCCACTTGCCGAGGCCAGTCAGGATGCTCAAGAGCCAGGTCACCAATAAGGCGCCCCATGCCCCCGCTACCCGCCCCGAGGCACTTCCGGAGACTGGCGGGGCGATGGCGCGAAAGCTCCGGGTGCCAGTTGAGGACGGCGCAAGAACATGCCTTGTCCAAGTATTCGACGTCGTACACGTCGGTGTACACGCGGTCGATGCGGGAGCGGGAGTCCGGGGAGGCACAGGTAGGCTCTGGTGTACGGAAAGTTCGTGGATCCTCAAGGGCTTCCGACCAGACTGCGCCAAGAACAAGAGCCGCTGTGATCCCGTCCGCCAGCGCTGGAAGCCGTCGAGGGGCAGACCCGGTACCCGGTCAGCAGAGTGCACCGCGCAATTAATTGAAGCCCCAGCGGATGCTGGCCATCACTCGGCCCCGAGGCTTTCGATGGCGAGCCAGCCGGCGGCGCAGCGCCTCCCAGAGTTCACTGTCGGAGAAGGCCCGGCCCTCTGGATCGAAGCCCGCCTCGGCCAAGTCCTGAATTGGAATGGAGCTGCCCGTGTGGAGCTACACAATTGAATATGCGCAAGGGGCCGCGTTCCCCTGCCAGGTGCAGCGCAGCTGCTCGCCGTGGAAAAATAACTTCAAAATGAAATATGAGGCCGGAAAATTTCAAACAAATCGTCTTTCACCGCGATGCCTACGCCTAGTATCGCTGCCGCCAGGCCCGAGAACCACCAGGAAAAAAACGCCCGTGTCATTCGTGCCGTGGGATTCCGACCAGCAGCCAATATCATGGGAAACCATGGGCCAACGCACGAACTTTGTCTTGCCCCTCTGGCGAGCCGGATCCAATGCGAAAAGCGCCTGAGCATTCCAAAAAACCAAGGAGAGCTTGCCAGTGCACTGTCCAGGAGCACGCGGGACCGGGAGTCCCAGGCGGCGTACGCCTCCGCGCCCGCGCGGGACAGCATCACCGACCAAAGGATGATCACCTCGAAGATCCGCATGCCGCCCTCCGCTCTGAGGAGAAGCGCCCACCGAGCGCAACACAGCTTGCCGACGAAAGATATGAACAGGCACATCGCGATCGCAATGATTACCTGCATCGTCGTGTAGAGCACCTGGGAGAAGATGGAGTGGAAGAGCGGGCATATAAGGACGAAGCCGAAGAATATTGTAGGGAAGCCGCCGCATAGAAGAGGAATATATGGAGAAAGCGCGACGCGTGGAAGGAAGACGAATCCGCAGTGCTGATGTTCCTGCCATTGTCGACCACGGGGCCCTGGAGCAAAGCACTCGGCTGACCAGGGAAGCAGCGGAGGGAGATGTCGAGGCCCAGCAGCCAATAGGCAGAACCATCCAATTCAATAGTTTGAATTCCAAAACACATGCAATGGCAATCCGCCGCCGTGCCGGGTGCCCGGGGATCGCTTAAGGCACCCGGACCCCATTTCCCACCAGGGGTCGTGCATCCATCAGGTCGCTGTGCACGGCGATCGACAACCAGTCGCTCCCAACTTGGATAACCTGGCCATGAAGGGCACCATGAACTTTCGCGACTTCTTCCTAGCTGCCCAAGACTAAGGCGAGCTCGCCCAGGAGGGGCCGCCGGATCATAGGAGGCGAGGTGCTGCCAAAACCCGGAGGGCACGTTGGAGTGTTCGGAGTAGGCAGTCAGAGCATTGCCAGAGCTGCTGCAGACATGGGCCATGATCTTGTCGATGATGAGCTTGTCCTGGAGCCCAGGCTCGCCGTTGATCCTGACCTGCGCCGCAAAGTCCATCAGCTGAGGCACGCATCCAGCCTTTCCACGGCGGCGCCGAGATGCCGCCATAGCAATGGCAGTGGCACAGGGTAAAGGTAAAGCAAACGGGCGCCCACAGAACAGGTTTGCTTGAAACCCGAGCTTCGTGATGATAGTACGCTCCCCCTCCCCGCATAGTTGTTCCATCAACTCCACCCAGTTGTCGGCAGACGCCTCGGTCCGGATCAAAAAGTTCTCCGGTGAGAAGAACAGAATTTCGGAGCGCAACAGGCCGGCCTTGGACATCACCGCCGGCGAGAGGCACTCGAGAATCAGGACATCGTCCGCAATGTAGAGATCCTCGTTCCCGATGGGCATCTCGGGGGAGAGCACCAAACGGCTCATCCTCCTGATCAGGATCTCCGTCCCAACCAGGGAGAAGCCATGCGGCAGGAGCATTTCAACCGATGCCCTGGGGGGCTCCACGGTGACGCCGACGCTCACATCAGGTCCCCGGAGCTGCAACTCGCGGAATTCCGTGGTGGCCAGATTGCTCATGAGGGTCGGGATCAGGTCCGTCGGTGACTACCTACAAGACCACCCCAACCCAACCCGAATACCCGAATTTCGGGTTGGGGGGGGTAAAGGTTCCATACGTGTTTTTTTCGATGTTCCGCGACCCCCCCTCCCACTGGAAATGGAAGGCAAATCTGAACCTTCGGGTTGGGTTGGGGTGGTTTGGTGGGTGGTGAATCGGCGTGTCCACGATGATGCTCGCGGAACTGGGAACCTGGAGCAAGGGCGCGCGAGGGAGGGCGATCGCGAGGGGCGTCCGCGTACCCGAGCGTGCAGTGCGGAAGCACGCAAGCCCTCGACGTACACATGTCGTGGCCCTCGCAGCCCTGGGAGTACGATTTCCATCGGCTGCGGAAAGAGGCTGATGTTTTTGACAGTGTTCTTGACGGCGTGCTTCTCCCCGAAGAGGGCGTGACCCCACAGGTCCGAGAACTGCGCCACCGAGGACACCCCAGGGAAGAACGGGAGAGGCACGAGGAGGATCAGCGAGGACGGAATGTCTTCTGGGGCCCTGCGGAAAAAGCTGGACAAAATCCTGTTGAGCGCTTCGGTGTCGAAGGGCGCCCATGCCGTCACCTGATGCCCCTTCAACTCGCCTAAGAACTTCTCGTCGAATTTATCCAGCAAGTCGGATAGCTGCCGGTGCCTTACGACCGTCGCCGCATGCGTGCCAAGGGGGTCCAAAACCTGGGACCACTGGGTGACGCACACGTTGCCGCTGGCGCCCGGGTGGACTGCACCGCGTTGATGGCGTCGCCGCCCAATTCTTTCCACCGAGGGAGTCGATCCGGATGAAACTGCCTGCGGGCGCGGCGGATGTCCGAAAAGCCGCGCTCGCAGCGAGCGGCAGCAGCCGCGATCGTAGCCTGAGCCTTGAGCCTGAACGGCGAGGGCTCGATCGTGCTCGGCCCAAGTAGCGCCCCCCCCAGGCTCAGGATTGGGGGGGGGGGGGGGGGAAATACGGATACGCGTTGTCCCCGGACCTCTTTTGGGGTGCGTTCTGACCAGAATTTCGAGGCGAATCCAGCGGTGACAACGAGGATTCCCCAGGAAGACCAGGAAAGGCCGAAAACGAAGGGGGACAACACGTATCCGTATCTTTTTCTCCCCCGACAAGAGAGTCTTGGCCATGCGGGCCCGTGTGAAAGTATGTCCATCTCGCAGGGCTCGGGGCCGCGGAGGGGGCCGAAACCGAGCGCCGCCCCCGGGTCCTACGCATCGGGCTGGCAGGCCATCTTGCTGAGGATGCTCTCCACGTCCTGCCACGTCCCCAGGAAAGGCGACCCCAGCGCGAACCTGCGGTCGGTTTGCAGCCGCCCCCGCCTGGATGAGCGCGAGGTGGCGAAGAGCTCCAGCCTCGAGGAGATCCTGGAAAGCCGTCGGCACGACCTGCAGCTGCGAGACGCCCTGCGGTGCGGCCAGCGGGTCGCTCATCGCCATCCCTGCAGCGGCCTGCGTCAGCCCGGTGCTCTCCTCCACGTCCTCCTCCATGTCGACATCGGGTCGGGCGAAAGGGGGGGATAGCAAAAGGGGGGTTTGAGAATCAGCTCGCGTAGCTGATTTTCCCGGCGCCTCCCCGCGCCGGAGGCGGCCATGCGTCGAGGAATGGGCCCTTCGGTGGGGCCGAAACCAGCTGCACGCAGCAAATTTCGTACCCCCCCCTTTTCCCAATCCCCCCCTTTCGCCCGGCCCGACGACAGCGGCGGCCGGGGCTGCCGAGTCCGCGCCGAGGGCGGCCGCAACTGCGCCGGTGGCGGCCGCGGCCATGCGCGGCGCAGAGGGTGGCGCCACGCCTCCAGCGAGGCGCGTGGCGCATCGTCCAGCCATCGCGGCAACACTTGTGAGCGTCCGAACGGGATTCGGGTAACGTTAACCCCAGGAAGCATTTAAGAACCCCCCCGGCGATATCGTAGCACCGCATTTTTTATTCGATATTCCGAGGGGCCGAAATAACCGAACGATAGCTTTAGCACACGGACACAAGGAGGGCTCCTGGTGCCAGGTAACGCTTCCAGGGTGCGGAAGGGTTATCGATTTGCCGGAGGGGGGGGGGTTCTTAAATGCTTCCTGGGGTTATTGTCTTGTGGCACGCTCCTTGAACCAGCTTCTTGAGCCAGAAGAAGTATGGGTGTGAGTACAATTGCAGACAGGTGCAAGAACACCGCTGGTTCGAGAAAGGTACCTGAAGGACTTCGGCATGAATCCGTAATGCTGTCCAGCCTCTGGAAGAACACCCTCGATGTTCTTCAATTCGGCAATGCTGGTGCTCCAACCTCACGGTTCAGCACGTGCGTTTGGACGCAGGCGGGGGCCATCCGTGTTTATCCCTTACTATGTCAAGGAGCGGCCTTCAACACCCGTGCGCTCGCTGATGATAGCGGCGCAAAAAAAAAACACCCTCTCGTGTTCTTCGTCACGGGTGGGGAGGGCGTCGGGAAGGGGTGCGGTGTTGGGGGGCTACGCTCCCAAGCGCTCTCGAACGCTCACAGGCGCCCGCGAGCACTCCCAAGCCTTCCCGAACTTTCTTAAGTTCCCCCAAGCGCTGCAGGCAGTCGCCTGTATCCCCCGAGATCTGAAGCATTCCCGAACGTTCCCAATCCCAACATCGACTTGCGCGCGCAATCACGAACCATCCGCAACTGCCCCCGTGGATCTGTCTCTCGCTCATTTCCCCGTTCCGCGAGCTCGAAAAAAACAATCGTCTAACCAACAAGCAAACATGCACACCGACCAGCCAGCTAGCAACCGAGAGAATCGGCCTGCCAGCCGTCCACGCTACACACGGCCAGCCAAAACGCAGACTTGCCAGAGTACAAACCAATCAGAAAACCAACCCGATCGAACAAACCCCCTTTCTGCTGTCCGGGGTGGGGGGCGACGGGTGAAGGCGAAACCATTCGGAGTAGCAGGAAGAGAGGCAACTGTAGTAACAATGCGACACGTCTAAGGAGAAAGCGTGAACCAGGGGAGCTGAGAGCAAGAGGAGACAAGCCATTGACACCACGCGAAGATCCTTCCTCTGCTGGCACTCCTCCGGGCGCCCTGCAACTCTGCACCTTTTCTGGCCCAAACCTGCCCCCTTGAAGAGAGCGCGGGGCGTGCATGCAGTCCCCGTCCTTCTTCTTGCCGGAGCCCTTCTTGTTCTCCCGCTCCTCTTCCTTTTCGGGAAGGGCCCTCCCCCGTCCCATGTCGAGCCCCCACCTCGCCACCTCGCCTCTCCCCCTCCCGCTCCACTCCAATCCCCTGCCCGCCCTCCCCCTGCCTCCTCCTGCCCGCCCTTTCCTGTCACCTCCCCTGCCCTGGCGCACCCTCGCCTCCGTTCCCTTCGCTACCTCCCCTCCCGCCCTGCCCAGTCACGTGACCTCCCCTGCTGGTCGCCCCGATATGGAATGCTCCCCGCCTATTCTCTCTCTCTCTCTCTCTCTTTCTCTCTCTCTCTCTTTCCTCATTCTCTCGGCCCTGTCAGCGTGTGTGAAGGGTTTTTCCGTCTGAACCGTCGTAATCGTCGTCGTTGTCGCTGCAACCGCTCCCCCCTGCCTGTCTGTGGGCCCTCCCCTTCGAAAGTCCCAACCGAAAACAAAACGAGCAACGTCGTAATCGAGTCGAAGTGAAGCCACCTTCCCATTGATCCCTCCCCCGCTGGGGGAAATCACGTTGGTCTCCTCCGGATTTAATATCATCAATGTTGTTTCATCCGTTTTTTTTCATCAAGTGAATGTAATCCATCTACTTCCGTCCGCTGAATTTCCTCAAATGTTATTTCAACGGGTTTAATTTCGCACAATATTCAATTCATCCGGTTTTGATTCCCCCGGTTTAAAATCATCCGGTTTAAGATCGTCCGGCCTATATTCATCCGGTTTAAATTTTGTATGTGTATCTCTGTGTGGCTCGCGTTGTCAATCTGACCCATTCAAACATATCCCACTTGAACTCGTCAATGTTTGATTCGTCCAATTAACCTTCATCAAGATTTATTCCGTCTGTCTAGACTCGTCCAATTTTGATTCGCCCTATTTAAAAATTCGTCCGGTTTTAATTCGCCCGGTTAAGTAAAATGCATCGGGTTGTATTTCGCCCGTTTAGATTCGTCCAGTTTTTCTTCGCCTGGTTTGCATGCGTGCGGTTATATATCGTCTGGCTTATACGCATTCAATGCCACTTCGCCCGGTTTATATTCATCGGATTTTAACTCGCCCAATTTACATTCTTCCGGTTTTAATTCGCCGGGTATAGATTCATCCGGTTTTACTTCGTACATTTTGAATTAATCTGGTTCATTCGCCCAATTGAAAGTCATCTGGTTTGAATTCGCCCTGTTTGAACTCATCCTATCTTAAATCGCGCGCGCATCGCCCATGCATCGTGAATGCATCGGTGATGCGTCGGCGATTCGCTGCGATCCTCCGACCCCATCAGCGAGGACCCCATGTGGAAAGCCCAAGATCGACAAAGAAACTTCTGAACAAACGGAAGTTTTCATCGGCGCGGGTCCCTCCCATCGGCGCAGAAATAATATATAATGTATGCTTCTCCGTATCGAATGTCTGAAGCTTTCAAGAGCTTCCTCGCAAAGGAGATGACAATATATTCAGGTGAAGCAACAAGAGATGAAAGCATCAGGGGCCCAAGCGTGACGATAGTTACATAGTTCCGATGGCCCGCTCGGATTGAAAACCGTGAGCGACGAACCCCATAGAAAGGGGGTCCCGCCTGAGATGTCCAGGCAATTCACTCGCATATAATGCTATGTTGACGATGGCGTTGTAAGAATGATGATGATGCTGATGTTGGTGATGATGATGCGTGGTGAGTAGTAGTTGTGCGAGAGTGAGTGAGCGAGTGATTTGAATGATGTAATCGTATGCGGGTGTGTAAGTGATGATGATGCGATGATGATGATGATGGTGATGATGATGATGATGAGGATGATGATGATGGAAGGATGTGAGCGTGAATGAAAAGGGAGGGGGTGTCCCTGTTCAGGCGCGGGGTGTCCAGAGAAAACAAGAACCCAACTTTGGATGTGGGGGGAAATGCATCCACACAACATCGATCCCTGGACCGCTTTCATCGGCGCTGGACCCTCCCAGCGGCGCCGACTGTTTTTATATATGTACATATGCACACGTATATACACATACGCATATTACAACCACGCGCGCTGAGCCTTTAGTCACAAATGAGCCATGGGTGCTGGTGTAAGCCCCGTGGTGGCCACAACGACCATTTCCAACGTTCTCGGGTCCATGCCGTCGACGCGAAGAAACGCGTAGTCAGAACGCGGAGCGCCACGTTCCCGCGCATTTCACAATCTCGCTGCCGCCTTCGTTTGGTTTATCGAACTGCGCTTTTTCTCAAATTTCAGTTCCGCTCTCCCCTATCCTGAAACTCAATGCTTTCGAACATCTGCCGCGTCACCCAATGCTCGATCACGCAGACATCCGCCGGCTCCTGATGTTGGGGTTGGCTCGGGGCCTCGTTGCGCGCGCGCGTGGGAGCGCGATGCTGTGTTTCCCAATTCCTCGTGCTCAAGGCTTCTCGTTGTCGGCGGTCGCTCGGCTGCAAGGGATCTGCAAAGGGCGCGCGCAGGTGTCCCGGTCATCGGTGCCCCTCTCTGCAATCAGTTGTTGTCGAGTCCTTTCACGGGAGTGGAAAAGCTCCTTTGTGCTGGACGCCAGACCTCATGCCTGCGATGATCGCACCCGTGGGAGCAGAAGGTTCGGGCTCACGGGGGATGCTCAATGATTGGCCTGGTAAGTCCAATGTACGGGGCTGTCTGGAGCTGTGATGGGGCCTCTGGCGGTACATTCTTGGCGCTCTGGCGAAGCCTTTTCAGGAGGTGAGGCAGGGGCGCGAAACCTGAGAAATTGTAAAATATAGCCACACCCCGCTCGCTCGGGCGGGCCCGCCCTGCCAGGGTGGGAGGAGCAAGTCTCGCGTGAAAGAATATGGCGTCGGGGCGCCCTTCTCTCTCTGGCGGGGGGTTCCTTGGCGCTCTGGCGGGGCTTGCCTAAGAGGGGACGGGGGGAGCACAAAACCTCAGGAAAGTTATGGTATAGCCGCGCCCCGTGCGCTCTGACGGAGCTACCTTGGGTGCAGTGGGAGGAGCAAGACAAAACAGAAACTGCATATGGTATAGCAACACCCCTCCCGCTCTGCCGGGGCCGCCCTGGAGGGGGAGGGGCAAAACAACTTGTCAAATGATAGGGTATAGAGATGCCCCGCTCGCTCTGGCGGGGCCTGTTTGGCGGTCTGGCGGGCCGTCCCAGGAGAGGAGGGAGGAGCACGAAAGCTGAGAGGGGGAGGGGAGGAACAGGAGAGAGGAGGGAATGGACGCAAGGGGAGGGGGTGGGAGGGAAGGAGGGACGGAAGGGGAAGGCCCGGGCCATCTGGGCCGTCTTCGAGCGCCCTGGGGCCTCCCGCTCCCGCTCTGTGGCCTATCTTGGGCGTGTCCTCGGGCCTCTTGGGCCGTCTGAGGCTCCTCGTGGGCAATTTGTACGCTCTCTGGAGAAGTCTTGAAGCTCTTTTGGGGGCCCCTTCGGCGGTCTTAGGGCGGTCTTGGGGGCTATCTTCGGCCGTCTTCGAGCGTTGGAAGCTCGAGAACGCGAGAAAGCGAACACACACATAAAGAAAAATAATGCAAATCAACGATTTGGGCCTCTTTGGGCTCTCTCGGGATGTCTCTCCGAGCTCTATTGGGGCCTCTTGGAGGCCTCTTGAGCTGTGTGTTTGCCGTCTTGAGCTCTTCTTGGGCCACGTTGGGATCATCTGGGCCACCCTGGAGCGCCTTGGAGCCTCCCGCTACCGCTCTGCGGCCCCTCTTGGGCCTCTCCTGGGATTCTCTGGGACAATCTCGGAATGCTCTTGGGCAGTCTTCAGGCTATCCGGGGCGTTTTGGGGCTCTTTTTGGAGCCTCTTCGGCGGTCTTGAGGCGATCTTCGGGACGTCTTCGGCCGTCTTGGAGCGTTGGAAGCTCGAGAACGCGAGAAAGCGAAACACTGGTGTGTGTGTGTGTGTATATATATATATATATATATATAAACTACCAGAAATTAATGATTTGGGCCTCTTTGGGCTCTGTCGGGACGTCTCTCGGAGCTCTCTTGGGGCCTCTTGGAGGCTTCTTGGGCTGTGTATTGGCAATGTTGGGCCCATCTGGGGCCACGTTGGGGCCATCTGGGCCGTCTTGGGGCGCCTTGGGGTCTCCCGCTCCCGCTGTGTGGCCCAGCTTGGGCCTGTCCTGGGGCTCTCTTGGGCCCTCTGAGGCTCCTCCTGGGCAATTTTCCGCTCCCTGGGATCGTGTTGGGGTTCTTTTGGGGGCCTCTTCGGCGGTCTGGGGCGGTCTTGGGGGCGGCGTCGGCCGTCTTGGAGCGGCGGAAGGTCGAAAACGCGAGGAACCGAAAAGCACAATTATAAAAAGCAGTGAAAATCAAGCATGTGGGCCTCCTGGAAAGCTGTCTGGGAAATACGATTTACCGAGGTGTCTTGGGGACCCGCAAGGGGCTTCCCTGGGGGCCCCTTGGGGGCCTATTGGGGCTTCCAAGGGGGTAACTTGGGAGCCTCACAGGACTTCTTGCCTAGGAGCCTCCCAAGCTGGAGACCTTGAACTGTCGCGCTTTCCGGGCCCTCTTGGGTCACTCTTGGGGCTCTTGGGGCGCTCTCGAGGCCCTCTTGAATTATCTGGGGAGCCTCCTGGGCCGTCTCTGGGATAACTTGGGAGCCTTTTCGGCCGTCTTGGAGCGATCTGAAGGGCCTCTGACGCCGTCTGGGACCGTGGGGAGGCGGAACATGCGAGAGCGCAAGTGTGCTTCAAAACCACTGGAAAATGTATGATGTTCAGCTTCTGGGGCCCTTTGGAGGGGCCTCTGGAGGCGCTCTTGGGGCGTTTTGGCGGCGGCGTCGGCCGTCCTGAAGCCATCTTCGGCGTGTCCGGGCGTCCGGGGCCTATGGGGCTGTCTTGTCAATATTGAGGGCCCTCTTGGCATGTCGTGGCGTGTTTGGGAGCGGGCCTGGGCAGTCCCGGGAGCCCTGGGACCCCCCCAATCCCTACATGGGGGGGCACGGCACCGGCCCGGGCCCCCCACCCCGGCCTACTCCGATATATATATATATATATATATATATATATATATAAATATATATATATACGCACATACAACATACATACATACATACATACATACATACATACATCTACCTACCTACCTACCTACCTACCTACCTACATACTACATACACACACATACACATACATACATACATACATACATACATACATAAATACATACATACATACATACATACACACATACATACATACACACATACATTACATTACATTACATTACATTACATTACATTACATTACATTACATTACATTACATTACATTACATTACATTACATTACATTACATTACATTACATACATTACATGCATGCATGCATGCATGCATGCATGCATACATACATACATACACGCATTCTCGCCCCCCCCCACATGATCATACACATTCTCCTTTCATCTCTCCAGTGTTCCTCGCCTTTCCCTCATCATGCTCTTCTTCATGATGTGTTGATGCGCTGGCAGTCGAAACCCATTTGATTGCAATCCAAACGGATGCAGCTCAATATTACAACCCATTTCTATTCTTCAACCTCTGCATCCAATTTCTGCGTCCTCCTCATGTTCCTGATGTCCTCTCTCTCCTCCTCCTCCTCCTGCTCCTCCTCCTCTTCCTCCTCCTCCTCCTCCCCCCCCTCTTCCTTCCCCTCCTCCTCCTCCTGCTCCCTCCCCCCTCCCCTCCTCCTCCTCCTCGTCCTCCTCCTCCTCCCCCTTCTCCCTCTCCTCTTCCCCCTCCTCTTCCTCCTCCTCTTCCTCCTCCTCCTCCTCCTCCTCCTCCTCCTCCTCTTCCTCCTCCCCATTGTCCTCCTCCCCCTCCTTTTCCTCCTCCTCTTCCTCCTTCTTCACTCGTTCTCCTTCTCTTTTTTGTTTCGTGCAGCACACGCGTGTTCAAGGCCGTTGCTTCGCTTAGCCAGCGCCCCGCTGGGAAACCATGGGCAACCCCGAACACGGCACGGAACAGTACGACCGCAAGCTCGAGAACAACCGCGTTGTACAAGACCAGAGTCAAAAAGGACAAGGCCAAAGCGGCGAAGCACAAGCTCAAGATGCGATTCCAGAGGCCGCTGTTGAAGAAGATCGCGGACCTGGAAGAGCAGGCTGCGATCTATCCTCCTCTTTGCGCTTCAAACATCTCCAAACATATAAACGCATTGTCCCGCCTGCTCATGCTCAGGCTGATTGGTGCCAGGGCGAGGCGGCGGACAACTGGGAGCTCGCCGAGAAGCGTGCGTGGTCCAACGAGCAGCTTCGGGACACGACGTTTTGAAATTCCACCACCACCACCACCCTGCCCGCAACCGCAAAAAACGGAACCGCAACGGCAACAACCGCAACGACCGCAACCGCAACGACCGCAACCGCAACGACCGCAACCGCAACGACAGCAACGCCAGCAAAGAGCACCAAACACGAAGCAAACACAACTCGAGCAAGCCCACGCCACCGAAATCCCCCCCGTCTGTTCGGGTGCCTTGCTGCCTCGCCCGCGCAGGAACGAGTGCGGAAACTGACGAGGGAGCTGGCCGAGAGCAACACGGCCAAGGAGAACGCACAGGCGAAGGGAGCTGCAGACGCGAAGGCCCTCAAGGCCTGGAAGTCCTGGTTCGAGGCTTTCTCGCGCGTGTGCGACCAGGAGCTGCCGCCGAAGGCGACGAAGCTTCTGAGGGACTGGGCGACTTGGGGGGTCACTCACTTGAGGGCCATCCTTCGCTTTCTCAGGACAACTAGGCAAAGCAGGGGCCCGCCGCGAGGCCAAAGAACGCTTCGCTCGCTAACGGGAAAAGGGAGGCACGGCGCGGCGGGGAGCACGACCAGAGGCAAAGCAGGGGGCCGACCGAGGAGGAGGAGGAGGAGGAGGAGGAGGAGGAGGAGGCGGACCAGGGGGAATGGAGGGCGGAACGCGCTTCTGCCAGGCAGGATGCCGCGCAGGAAAAGCGGTGCAATGATGACATCAAGACAACAGGACGAACCACCCACCCAGAAAAGCAGGCGACGATGGAGCCGCCGACTAGCATGTTCAGTCTAACGTGAACAGGCGCATTGCTGCACAAAAAAAGGGCATCCTGATTTTAGGATGCCCTCTCTGATATGGGCGTCGTAGGAAAAGCGGTGCAACGATGACATCAAGACAACAGGACGAACCACCCACCCAGAAAAGCAGGCGACGATGGAGCCGCCGACAAGCATGTTCAGTCTAACGTGAACAGGTGCACTGCTGCACAAAAAGGGCATCCTGATTTTAGGATACCCTCTCTGATACGGGCGTCGTAGGAAAAGCGGTGCAATGATGACATCAAGACAACAGGACGAACCACCCACCCAGAAAAGCAGGCGACGATGGAACCGCCGACAAGCATGTTCAGTCTAACGTGAACAGGCGCATTGCTGCACAAAAAGGGCATCCTGATTTTAGGATGCCCTCTCTGATACGGGCGTCGTAGGAAAAGCGGTGCAATGATGACATCAAGACAACAGGACGAACCACCCACCCAGAAAATCAGGCGACGATGGAGCCGCCGACTAGCATGTTCAGTCTAACGTGAACAGGCGCATTGCTGCACAAAAAGGGCATCCTGATTTTAGGATGTCCTCTCTGATACGGGCGTCGTAGGGATTTTGTTCTTCTGCTGCGACTACCACTGCCATTTCTATTGCAACTACTGCTGCTACAGCTCTACGACGACTAGTACTACTACCACCACTACTACTGTTGCTACAGCTCTACGACGACTAGTACTACTACCACCACTACTACTGATGCTAATACAACCACTCCTACCATAACTACCGACAGCGCCACCGCCACGACCAGAGGAAGCCGGCGAGCCTCCAGACAAGGAGGGCCCCAGTCCCACCCGCAGCACATTTTGGCTCAGTGCGTTTTTCTCAACCGACCGTCTGGGCCACCGTTCTGCCACCGTCGGCGATGGGGCAGCGTGCTATCAAACGCCCTGCTGCCGCCTCCGCGCCGAAGAAGCGGCCTGCGAGTGCTTTCAGGCCGCTCCCCTTGCGCAAGAGGGGGAAGGACAGGATGGGCCAGCACAGGAAGCAAGCGGAGAAGGTCGAATACGTGCGCCACGGGAAGAAGACCGTGACATCCCGCAAGGAGCGCGAAACCTGGTGCCGCAACTACGACAACTTCCACGGGAAAGCTGCGGACCAGATGGTAGACCTGCTCCTCGAGGATGGCGTCCTGCTTGACTGGGAAGGCCGCACCTGCCCTCACTGCGGCGTCGGAACCTGCGGCGCGCGGGTGCATGATGACAATCGCGGCCCGCATTGGCGATGCAACAGCGGTAGGCTGCGCGGCAAGACCGTCAACCCGTGCACCGCCCACCCCGTCTTCAAGTCTGGCGGGGGTTGCCAATCGTCGAGTTTGTCGAAGAAGGCCAAGGTCCTCTTCTGCCTCACGCTCGGCATGACCACCGCCCAGATACACTTGCTGACATGCGCCAGCCACAAGATGATCGAGGACATGAGCGCGGCCGCGGCAGCCGTGCGGCAGATCTAGGTGGAAAAGAACGAACCCAACATTGTCTTCGGCGACGAAGCTCAGCGGCGCTGGTTCGACGCGGAGGCGGATGAGTCGGTCTTCCGCGCCCAGCTGTCCGACAACGGTCGTTCCAAGACGCGGGAACAGTGGGCGGGCGTCGTCGAGCGCGGGCGCCCTGATAGCCTCGTTCAGTGGAAGACCCAGTCAGACGGCACCGAGGCCAACGCGCCAGGCCCAGGCGCCATCAAGAAGACGGATTGGGAGCCGTTCCTAAAAAGCCGCTTAGAGAAAAGGAAGGTCATCTTGCACTCTGACGGGGCCCGCAGCTACAAGATGCGCGCGTCGGGGCTCGTGCGCGACCACGTCGTGCACTGCAAGAAGCGGAAGAAGATCGGCAGGAAGTGGGTTTGGTTGGAGCCAGTCTACTCGAAGGTTGTCACCCACAAGTTGCCCGACGGCTCCAAGATCGGGGTAGAGGCAGGGACGCAGATCATCGACCGCGCCTGGAGGTCCATCAAAGCCCTCATTGGCACGCGCACGGACCTCCCAGGCAGCAGGCGTCTCGCGGCTTCGGTTCGCTCGGCCCAGTTCGAGCGCTGGAACAAGGGCAAGGATCTGTGGGCGGCCACCGCGGATGCCATCTGGGAGGTCATGGACGCGGCGTACTGAGTGCCGATGTCGAGGGGTGTGTCTTTTATTACGGAGTGCCGATGTCGAGGGGTGTGTTTTTATACAGCGCGCATGTGTTCCCGAGTGCGCGTGATTGACGTCGCGTTGATTGTCCCCACCGCAGCCGTGCCACATCTTTGACTCATCGTCGTCGTGCCCACGCTCTCTTGCTTCTTACTTCCATCTTCAGTGCGCGTCTTTCGTCGTCGTCGCTCCCCCCCCAGGTGCTCAGCTGGCATCCGCAGCCGTCTGTGATCAACGCTTGCGCGCTGTTGCCCGTCATCCAAGGCAACCGCCCGACCCGCCTTTCTCTCGCCACGAATCATGGCGAGCGCCCCTGCTGCTCAGGTGCAGTCGCTGGGGCAGGTTGCGTACGATGCCGAGGGAGACGGCAAGCTCACCTTTGAGGAGGCGTCGTTGATGGTCAGCGGTAGCAAGTTAGACTACCACCCCTCGAAGTGCGTCAAGAAAGACAGGTTGGCTTTCGCTGGTGACCATTCTATCTTCGACCTTCCTCTGCTACCGATCGCGAATTCGAGTACCGCGAAGTTGGTCGCTTCCGCCGACATGGCATCCCACTACGAGGGCCCGATTGACTTCGACAAGGTACACAAGTTGTGCGCACAGGGTAGGTTCAAGGACTTGCAGGAGCCGCTGTCGCTCAAGCAGGAGCCCGCCGTCCCGCACGCGATGCAGATCTTCATCGTTCGCCAGAAGCCAGAGGACAGCGTGTGTTCGGCATACCGCATCCTCAAGGTTGTTTCTTTCGATAAAAACAGAGTCGATTCTGCGACCATCCTCAAGTGTGCTCGCGGAGAGGCCCACAAAATCGACTACGGCAAAAACTTTCGGGCGGGGTCGATTGCGTTCCAGTTCATGCCGGAGAAGCTCGAGGGCCATCAAATACGGTGGGCGCGCTCGGATACAGATCCCCCTCCTGCCCGCCCCAGCTCCGGGGCATTCCCCCGCCCCGTGTTTCAAAACGAGTTGGGCGCCCTATCTGTGGCGACCCAGCGATCGGGACCCCCTGGGCTTCTCACCGTACGTATGCCTATCCAGCGCCCCCACAGCAAGGTACTTCACGATCAAGCCGCAGCACGAGCGGAAGCAGCCGCTAGAAGAGGACGAGCACGCGCAGGGTTACACGTTCATCCGTGAACACGGCCCCCGCAGCAATAACAACAGGGAGGGTTCGAAGATATTCGGATGGCCTGCGCCCAAGGTGGAGACTGCGCTGCGCAATTACCAGAAGGGCAGGACGAATGCCAAACCGATCTCGCGCTGGAGTTTGACGCTGAAGGACTTCTCCGGCTGGTTCCTCAATGGCGCCCTCCGCCTGATGATTGGCACGCTCCACATGCACGGGGCGCTGTGGGTCGGGAAGTCCAGAGTTGGCAAGAGCAACGGCTCGAAGACGCTTGCTTGGGTTCATTCGGCGTGCAGCATACAGAAGAAGGGCACCGCCGATGAGATCGCTTTCCTGACGGTGAAGCATATGGATTTCTTCAAGGGCGAGCCGACGACGGAGATCCTCCCTGGCATTTTCGACGACGGCCTGCTTCAGAAGGTTCGGTGGCCTGGCGTGGCCCACGCCATTGCCGCCCGCGGCTTCCAGGGAGACTGCGGTTCTTCCCACCGCATCGCCCTCCCAAGTGGAAGTCGCGGTGGCGTTGGTGATCGGGCGAACGCTTGGCCGCTTGAAGGCACCCGCTGATGTGCTCAAGGCTTTCTTGAACCCCAAGGAAGAGGACGCTCTGCTGTGGGCTCGGTGGGGCGGCTGCGCTTTCGAGCAAGGGTCGCGCAGACAGGCCGTCGCGAACCCCTACGACCGCGACGCGGAGAAGGCGGCGCTGGATGCCGCGACGCTAAACAAGTACGGCCTCGACCTGCTCAAGCGTATCATCGCGCCGTCTCTGGAAGATGTCAGGACAGAGGATGACTTCAACGTCATCCTCGCCAGGGCGCACGTCATCGCGGTGACGGACCTCGGCGTGCATTGGCGCGTGGCATCCGCCAACCTGCAGGATGGTGCAGAGTTCATGCCGTGGCCCAACCCCAGGAGCCCCGACCTCTTCGTCAGCGAAGTGCGGGACACGACGTCGCCAGCCATCCGCCCGCTCCCCTCAGACTACGCCGAAAAGATGGCTTGGTCGATTGGGTACATGAGCAATGTGGTCGCGGGCCTTGACGTGCCCACTATTGCGACTGTCCATGTTGCTCCTATCTTCGGCGATGGCCCTGCGCGCGTTGTCTCCGCTGTCGGCAACGTTTCAGGGTTCGTTCCAGGCGCGGCCAGCGCTCCGCCAGCCGCCGCGGCCGCTTCGGCGTTTTCCCAGCCGCCAGCCGAGTTGTCCCAGGAGGAGGACGTGTTCGGCTTCGGCGGCGGAATGGACGAACCGCCAGAAGACAGCTCGCGCGCCGCCAGCTCCGCGCAGCCCAACATCGTTGGGCGTTGCGGCGAGCTCACCAAGGAGGACCAGGGCGAGCAGCTCGCGATTTTCAAGAGCCTCGCCAAGGCAAGCCACGGTGCGTTCGAGGACTTGTCCTCGCCTCCGCCAGTGAAGAGGGCGGCTCATGATGGGCTGCGGTGGTCCGTTGTCACCCGTGGATGCCGATGAGCAGAGGGCGATCGTCGCTTCCATTGCCGCCTCGGCCCACGGTGAAACGATCGACGTCGAGGATGACGACGGTCTGTCGGCAGAGCTCGCGCGCGTGCTTGACGAGGGGGGGCCGCCCTCTGAGTCGGCGACGGCACGCCGCAGCGAGGCTGACTGAGGAGGCGGCCGCGCCGTGCGAGCGCACATGATGCGCGACGCAGTCGTAGCCGATGGCAGTCGGTGCGATGCGTGCGCGCACGTATGAACCACCATCTTTCGTAGACCTCTATGCGTGCGCTCCGCCTGGAAACATAGCAACGCAACGGTTGCGACAGATTGGATAGCAATCGGTGGAATTGCGGTACCTACCCTCATGCTGACGGCCGGCGGCATAACGGAGGAGGGGGAGAGGGGAAGGAGGAGAAGAAGGAGTGGAGGGGGAGGAGAAGAGGGAGAAGGTGGAGGCGGAGGAGGAGGAGGAGGCACAAAAAAAAAACAAAAAACAACTACGATTTCTGTCGAATTTTGGCCGCCAGCCGTCCCAGAAATTCTCCAGAAATAATGTTGTTTTTTTTGGTTTTTGTAGGTTTTCTTTAGTTTCTGACGATTTCGATAATTCCGAGAAGGAATCGCACGGGGAGGAGGAGGAGGAGGAAGAGGAGGAGCGGTGATCGCGCAACTGACCCCTCAGTCTCGCCAAGTGAGCTGTGGGGGAGTGCTCCCCCACAGCCTCCCCGCAGCGATTTCGCTAGCTTGAGGCTCTGCGGAATGCTCTTCGTATGCCCCAACACGCACGTCCAAATTTCGCGTGGTAGCCCTTATTGCGAGTGTTGAAACCATGTGTAATTACCTCATCCAGCCTAATTAGAGTGTTCGGTATAGCCACGTTCACTCAATTTGCGATTGTTTTATTCCGATGGTTACCCCTTATGTTGAATATGAGTGTGCACACTTTGGCTGCCGACGAGTCAATTTCCTGATGAATATATGTTTCGCTATTGTGTATATCGCATGTATAATGCATGATGTATTAGCGCATATACCAGTACCGTGTATGATATATTATTGTGGTTTTGTGTATATCGCATGTTATCGCATGTGTCGGGCATTGTGTATTTGCGCATATGCCAGTACCGTGTATGATGTATTATTGTGGTTTTGTGTATATCGCATGTATCGGGCGTGGTGTATCTGCGCATATGTCAGTACCAACGTGTTGCGATTTCTAGGCCCCCACTCCCTCCCTCTTTTTCCCTTCTCCTCCTGGCTACCCCACTTCCTCCTCCCCCCCACCCTCCTCTTCCGCCTCTCGCCGTTGCCGCCGCCGCAGCCGATCCCTCTCTAAGCACGTGGGGAATTCAGGGCCGGCAAGGATGGAGGGCTCGCTCGCGCGGGCCCTTTATATCCACGCTCGGCCGTGCCGCGTCGGCCGCGACGGGGGTCACATGCTCATGGAGGCCCCCGCGGCGCTGGCGGCCGCCGTGATGGCCGCTGGCGGCCCTGCCCGTGGCTGCACAGGCCTCTCGCGGGAAGGGGGTGCCGAAGGGGGGAAGGGAAGGGAAGGTAAGGGGGATGGGAAGGCAAGGGGAATGGGAATAAGGGGGAAGCGGGGGGAGAGGAGGGAGCAGTGTGGATGGGGGGCGGTTGAGTGTTCGGGGGAGGAAGAGTGTCTATCCCTCTTCCTCCTCCTCCTCCTCCTCCTCCCCTTCCCTCCTTCACTTCCCGTCACCTCCTCCCCTCCGTCCGAGAGCGTGGAGGGGGGACCGAGGGGGATACATCTTCCCTCCTAGCAGGCGTGCACTCCGAGGGGCCGTACACCCTCCAGGACATCGTCGGCCGGATGGGGCTGGACATGGAGCCTGGGGCTTGGCAGACCATCGATGCGCTGGTATATGCGACGAAAGGTGGCACCTCCTTCCTCCCTATTCCTCCCTCGTTCCCTCATCCCCCTCACGCTCCATCCCAAATTGGCCCGATGACCCCTCTGAGAAGGTGGGCAAGGAGCCGATCCATCTTCGGCTCTTGTACCGCTGGGCCCTACAGCTGCTGACCTCGTTCCCACATTTGACTTGCCCATGGCGCGGGCCATGACCAGGCCCCAGATCAACAAGATGGCTGTGGAACTCAGCAAGAAAAGCGTGGACTTGAAAGAAAAATACGGTTCTGTCAGGAAGAAGCTGAATTACCAAAACTCGGTTGTGTTGCCAAAGCTCGAGAGTAAGATCAAGAGCCAGGGGGGTGAGATCCATTCGAAAAAGTACACCAAAACCACAAAAAAAAAAAACAAGCAGCGCGAGCTCGTCCAGACCCGCTTCCATCTGACTCGCGAGGGGACCTACAAGCTCGGGTTCAATCGAAACTACGGCATGGCATCTGCAGCGTCAACAAAATATATGCTGGCCTAGAGGGGATTTCAACAAACGATCGACCCAAGCCCCGTGGGAGGATGAGGACGAGGAGGGGATATGTGGGGAAGAAGCGGAAGAGGGGATAGGATGAGGAGGAGGAGGAGGAGGAGGAGAGTAGAAGGAGAAGGACGAGGTGGAGGAGCGAAAGGAAGGACCAGGAGGAGAAGGAGGAGGGAGGGGTGAGGACGAGGGAGGACCCTGGGCACCCAAGTAGCTCGGCTAACGCATTGGTTGATTTGCATTGCGTTGCGTCCGATTCTGAGGGGGGTCTTAAGTGTGCCCTCCTGCTATCCCCCCGAGCCCCAGGACATCCCGGTCTCCGACGCGACGGTGCGTCATGCCGAGAACCTGGCCCGTTCGAACAACTACGTCATGAGCCAGAAGTGGTATGCTGAGCAATATGGATCATCGTTACGGTTTTTTGATCAGTCTGAGGAGGTTATCGAGCATCGACCATTGGATGATCTTCGTGTGCGGCTCTCTTACGAAGTCCACGCGTTCAGGGGGGACGCGTCGCATTCGGGCGACTGGAGGTCCCACAAGGTGTTCGCGTCCGAGGTGTGGTCCGCGTTCCGGACGCCTGTGATCGACATGCGGGACGGCTCGGAGCAGCTCTCATACACCTGGGCTTTACACTACCCTGACCTAGCCTGGGTCCCGCCTGCAGGATCTGGAGAGTCAACGAAAACGATGCGGGAATCCCGCCTGGAGCAGCTGGGGGTGGCCACGTGGTTCTCTCGCGCGGCAGCGGCGTCCAAGTCGATGTCGCAGGGTGGTACTTCTTCCAGCGAGGACGCTCTGTGCCTCTCCTTCGTGCCCCCTCCTCTCTCGCCCACTGCCCTCCCTCCTCTGCCCGCTTTCCTCGTACCCTGTCAACTACGTGCCCCTCCTGCTCCGTGGCCTCAGTGTCCTCCTCGCTCGCCCTCCACCTCCGCCTCGCCCTCCCTCCTTGCCGCCAGGACCGCCAGCCGACGGTGAAGGAGCACGTCATCGATGCGACGCTGGATCAGTGCACTGGTGGTGACCACGGCCCGTACACGCACATCACGGTGTACCTAGGTGGGACCGACAAGGGCCCGGACTGCCAGGGCATGCGATCCCTGGTGATGCGCGAGCTCGCGCATGATCAATTCGCTTGGGTTGCTTGGGTTTACTGTTGGATACACCAGATCCACTTGATTTGCAAGAACCTTCTCAAGATGAGCAAGGCGTACTACTCCAACATCGCCAAGATGTGCAATGTGTGGAGGGCGCCCTCCAAGGCCGCGGCGATCTACAAATCTTGGGCGTCCCTGTTCGGCGTCGCACGGGCCAAGAAGGTCGCGGGTCGCCTCCCCCCGCGACCCCTCGCGGGGAGATTCGGCGCCGTGCACAAGACATGTCAGTTCTTAATCGGCGCGACCATGCACGAAACGGCAGCCGTTTACAATGAGGTCTTTAAGAAGCCGAAGGTGCCGGGTGCGACCGATGGCATTACTATTGATCCTGACGGCGAGGATTGGGAGACGCAGATGGGGCGCTGGGAGCGGGACGCGGTTGCCGCGGCGAACTCTATCGACCACTGGGTGTACATGGCCTCGTATCACCTGGCGGGCGCGCCCTTGATGCATCTGCTCCATTGGTTTGAGAAGAAGGGGTCGAACATCAAAAGTGACCGCGACAAGCTGTTCAGCCATGACCATGTGTCTACGATTCAGGAGTTGCTCTACTTTAAAGCTTCGGAGATCATGGGCGAGTTCAACACGTTACTTGATGAAGATCATTATGCGTCAGCGTGGTCCCTGGTGTTGGACCTGACCTTCGAACACCCCCTGGTGGACGAACCGAAGGTGCGAGCGCAGTCAGTGGAACTTACGTTGGAAGCGGCTGTCAACTACTACCGCAGGTTTATCCTGGAGCTGTCGGAGTTCCCGTATACGATGTTGAACTTGGTGAAGGAGCCGCCCTTGTTCGATTGCGAGGTCAGGAGGGAGTTGGCGACGCAGTGGCTTGCTCTTCTCGACTCCGAGGATCCCGATGTTCGCGGGAGCACGCCGTTTAAGGTGGCGTCGGTCTTCAGGCGAGATATGGAGGAGTCGGCAGGGGCATCGATAAGGGGGACTCGGGGACTCCCTGGACCCGCTGTTTTGAATGGGGCCTCGTGGCTCGCGGCATGGGCCCTGGGGGCCTGGAGCAGTGCGCCCGCTTGTCGCGCCCCTGCCTTTCCCACAGCTCTCGGGAAAGGATGCCGTGAACACGGGGAGGCTCAACCCGAAGCTGTGGGACCTGTTCAACACGGTGGCCCACATGATGGCTTCGGACACTCAGGAGATCGAAGGGCTGAATGGGATGATCAAGGCAAACTTGAAGATGTCCCCGAACATTGGCTTGATGCTCCTCTCGACCAGGACGATCCTGAAGAAGACCCTTGCATTCCATGTTAAGGATCCCAAGGAGTTGGATCGCATCGTCAAGGATTGCGTCAAGAACCACGACGCTGCCGTGCTGGCGCTGAACGACGCTTCGCGGTTCCGGGCGGCCGACGACGACCCCTTCCGCCGCGACGCGCTGCCTCTACCTCCACCTGAGAAGCCTCCGCCCCTCGAGGACCGCGTGGGCCAGCCCCAGGGCGCGGGGTCCGACGCGGAGCAGCCGGCGCCAGCAGATGCGCCAGGGGGCGGGCCAGTGGCGCCGGTGCCGCCCGCGCCACCCGCGGACGCCGCGGCGCCGAGGAAGCCGAGGCAGCCGCGCTGCGGCGCCCGAGTTGCTCGACACATGTTGCAACTTTATCCTCGCAAGCAGCCTTGCAGCAACTATGTCCTGGGCATCTTCGCCAATCGCGATCGCACGGCCCAGTCTGCTTGGATGGTGGCTCACATGTTTCGCAGAGGCTTCTGGCTCGTCCCAGGCGAGCTGAGTGAGACAAGCTTCACCCTGGCTGTCCCTATCCGACCTGTCCCGATGAAGGGCGTCTGCGAGGCCATCCACGAGCGCCTCAAGATGACCGGGCCCGGCACGAAGATGAGGATTGGATTGGCAAAGTTGTCGTGCGATTTCCAGTCCGTGCAACGGTCCGCTCGCACGGGCCGCATGAAGTGGGCAGACCTGGCAGGCGCGTGCAGGTGCTGCCGCGGGCCTCGGGGTGACAATGACAACGGCCAGCCCCCGCCGCCTGGTGGAGGTGCAGGCGGTGCCGACCCCGAGGAAGAGCCGGACGTTGGATTGCTCGATGAACTCTGGGCGAGCATCAACGAGATCCGCCTTTCAGATGACGATGAGATCGGCGACGGCGCGCCCGGGGCGTTCCACGCGCACCTGGAAAAGTACGGCAACGCGGGCGGAGAGGATGACGAAGGCCAGCCTGCGCCGCCTGAGGGCCCTGACGACGACGAGGACTTCTTCGGCGAGGGCGGCGGGGGCGGCGACTTGGACGCCGTCGAGAAGGACATCATCGCCGCAGGGGAGGTCCGCGAGCTGACGCGCGTCGAGGGCATCATAGCGAGCGGCCGTGCAGTCGACCCAGCCGCCGAGGGCGCACTAGTGGAAGAGGACCCCTCGTTGCACCATGACTTGGCCAGGCGCGAGGCAGAGGCTGCGCTGCAGGCAGCCCTGGACGTCGAGATTCCAGATGATCACGATGGTGCTGGCGCCGCCGCGCCCGCTGCAGCCGCTGCAGCCGCCCGACTCCTCCCGAATGCACTGAGCTCCGAGCTGCTGGCGGAGTGGTCCGATGGAGTCGTGTCTACAGCATCGGCGCTCACGTCTCTGTTGGCGCCCGAGTACCACGCGCTTTCCGACAGGTGTATCTCGCTCGTGCACTGCGAGAACCCCGTCCCGGACAACCCAGGGGACCCCGTGGTCGCCAGCTTGTTCTGGGACAACATCGTTGATGGCACTGGCCGGTTCCTGGACGTGAGCGACGAGGACTACGTCGTCCACTATCGTCCTCCTGCAGCTCGAGGGTTCATCGGAACTTGAACCAATATACCCTCCTTGCGCACATCCCTTTCTCCCTCTCCTCCTCCTCATCCTCCTCTTCCTCCTCCGCTTCCTCCTCCTCCTCCTCCTCCTCCTCCTCCTCCTCCTCCTCCTCCCTCCTCCTCCTCCTCCTCCTCCTCCTCCTCCACCTCCTCTCCTCCTCCGCCCCCTCCTCCGGCCCGCCCCCCCATAGGTTGGAGACGCCTGTCGGGGCGTTGCTGGACAGCAACGAGATGACCATCCTGCTGGCCAAAGTGCAGAGCCGTGCCCTCCCGGGATGGGCGGGCGATGGGGCCGAGGGCGGAGGAGAAGGAGGGGGGGGAGGGGGCTGAGGAGGAGAGGAGGAGCAGGACGAGGAGGAGGGGGAGGAGGTGATGGGGAATGGAGGGATCGAGACGGGCGCCCCTCCCAGGCGCCCGAACGGCCTCAAAAAAAAACCTGAGGCTAGCGCCCCGCTTTCTAAAGAAATCGAGGCGCTAGCCCCTGGGTTTTTTTCCCGATCCGGTCGGGACCCCCCGGCCCTGATCCGCGCCCTCGGC